CTGAGGGAGGGGGTGGGGGAAGGGAAGGCACAGGTGAGCTCTTTGGAGGGACAGTGCGCTGGGTCCTCCATCCTAAGTGTTTTACTATTTATTTTTATTTTTTAACTATATTTATATTGATTTCAGAGAGAGAGGGAGAGAGAGAGAGAGAGAGAGATGGAAACATCCGTGATGAGAGAATCAGGGATCAGCTGCCTCCTGCACCACCCCCCACTGGGGATCAAGCCCACCACCCGGGCACGTGCCCTGACTGGGAATCGAACTGTGACCCGCTGGTTCATAAGTCAACACTCAGACCACTGAGTCCCGCCGGCCAGGCAAGGGGTTGTCTTAATCCTGAGAAGCAGAACCAGGAAACACACATGGCCCCTGTTCCCACTGCCTGGGAGACACTGCTCACAGGCTTAGAGCAAGCTGCACAGCCACGGAGCCTCGCACGCTGGGGCTGCGAGCTTTTGGACGGAGGGAGGAGGCGAGGTTTCCAGTTTGGAAGCATCTGGCCCGTGGCGCGTGTCCCCTCGCTGTGACGGTCAGGCTGCACTGCCCAGCGCCCTGGCAGGGCTGCCGGGAGCCTGTGGGCTGTCTGCGTAGGGCGCCTGGACTCGGAGCGGAAGGGATTGTGTTTCTCTGCCCGGGGAGCTGGTGACCTTGAGGGCGCGTCACGTGCGTCCCTGGTGGAGAAGGAGGCCGTGCTGCGTCCTGAGGCTCTTATCTACCAGAGGAGGAGCTGGGGGGCCGGGGGGCTGTTTCCTCCCGACCTGGCACTGCCCGTGCTTCATGCTTCCCGCCCGGGACCGCGTCCGCCCCCCAGGGACGCGCTGCCATGTCTGCAGATGTTTGTGGTTGTTAAACTGCAGATGAGGAGGTGCTGCTGGCATCCAGTGAGGGAGGCGGGGGAGGTGCCAGCTCCCACAGGACACAGGACCACACCCACCACAGAGAACCATTCGGCCCAGCCCGGCCGGCGAGGCTCAGGGGTTGAGCTTTGACCTGTGAACCAGGTTATGGTTCGATTCCCGGTCAGGGCACAGGCCCGGGTTGTGGGCTCCATCGCCAGTGTGGGCCGTGCAGGAGGCAGCCGATCCATGATTCTCTCTCATCATGGATGTTTCTATCTCCCTCTCCCTCTCCCTTCTTGCAAATCAATAAAAATATTTATTTACTGTGTCTCCCCGGGCCTCATTCGGCCCAGAGTGTCACCAGTGCCGAGGTGGAGGCAGCCTGCCCTGGACCCCGAGGGTGGGAGCCCCTCCTGGCAGCATGCGAGCCCCCGGATTGTGGGAGTTCTGTTGGGCCCTGCCTCCCGAGTGCCCGCCCAGCGCTGCCCTGAGGCCCGGGCCCTGGTGAGAGGTGGCAGCGAGGCCTGCAGAGCCCGTGGCCCTGGGTCCAGCCCAGCGTGTGTCTGCGGTGTGCCCACAGAGGGCGGGGCCCACAGAGGGCGGGGCCAAGGCTGCCTGACTCGCGTCCCCTCGCCCCGCTACAGGACTTGCTGAAGCACACGCCCCCCAGCCACCCCGACCACCCCCTGCTGCAGGACGCCCTGCGCATCTCCCAGAACTTCCTGTCCAGCATCAACGAGGAGATCACGCCCCGCCGGCAGTCCATGACCGTGAAGAAAGGCGAGGTAGGCGTGGCCGCGGTGGAGGCGGGCAGCGTCCCCTCTGGTCCTCAGTGGACGGACCCTGGACGGTTCAATGGGACAGAGGAAGTGCAGTGCCTTTTGGGGTCCCTGACCCTGGCGGGGTCCCACCCAGTCCCGTATGCAGGGCGTCAGAGTGGAATTGCACAGGCACGAGCCTCACTCGGCCGCCTCTTCCTTTCTCCGTCTCGGGGGTTCTGTCCAGGGCACCCCTTCTGTTACCCACACTTTACCAGCTCGGGGTCCCCGCTGAGGAGACGGGGGAGAAGGAGGGTGGCCTATGGCCTGCCTGGAACACCTAGCGTCTCCTGGGTGTTCTTTTATTCAAGAAGAGTTGTGGCCGGATTTAAGGACTTAAATGGGAGAGAAAGGGAGGCGTGTGTGGTGTGCATGTGTGGCATCCAGAACATGTGTGTGACGTCTTCAGCCAGACATGTTCTCCTACCCCCTCCCGCCTCCCTCACTGACAGCCGCCCAGTCCCCATCTCCCAGCACCTCATTGATGAGAGGCTGTAGAACAGAGGGGCTCAGGTCCTGGCCGGTCTGACTCAGTGGATAGAGCGTCGACCTGAGGACGGAAGGGTCCCAAGTTCAATTCCGGTCAAGGGCACAGGCCCAGGTTGCGGGCTCGGTCCCCAATAGGGGGCGTGCAGGAGGCAGCCGATCAATGATTCTCTCCCATCATTGATGTTTCTAGCTCTCTCCCTCTCCCTTTTTCTCTGAAATCAATAAAAAAAATACATTTTAAAAAGAACAGAAGGGCTCAGGATGTACTGCCCCGGCCTGCCCGGTGGCCTCTGCCCCTTCCTGGGAGCGGCCCAGCGCGGTCAGGCCGGCGCCATCCCCGGCGGGCGGCACGCAGGGAGGCACAGAAATGCGCCAGGCAGGGGGCTGACCTCCATCGTGAGCACCCGCCCTCGGAAGTCGCACACGGCGAGGGGAACTGACGCGCGCCCTCTGCGGTCTCCGGTCGTGAACCTGACGGCGGCCGCCACCTAGAGCCACTTCCTCCTCTTTCTTGTGGTTCCTGCGCCAGGTGCTGGGTGTCAGGCTCCCGGGCGGGTCACTCTGGGTCGCGTCGCCCTGGGTCCCGGCCTCCCCATCCTCCTTGGGAGGCAGCTCCTTGCGTGCGGAGCGGGAAGCTCCCACCTGCCCAGGGTCTCACCGGCTTGGTCAGGTGTCTCCGGGGGGCCTCCCCGGGAAGAGCCGTGAGGAGGGAGATGTCCCCTCCATCCACTCTCAGGCCACCACACAGCAGGTCCCACAGTGAGGCTGCAGGAGCCCTTGTGGCTCGGTGCACTGCCCGGGTCTCAGGCCCTGAGGGGCACCCCACCCCCTGCTTCCCCTGCATGTCGGCCGGGTTTGGGGGGCTCTGTTTTAGCTGCTCTGGCAGGGTTCTACCGAGAGGAAAGGAGCCTCCATCAGCCTGGGCTTTTGGGGGTGCCCTATAGCCACCATCTCCACCTGCTCGGCCTGGGTGAGTCAGAGAGGAGGCAGAGATGGGGGGCAGCACACAGTGGGGCTCAGGCCGGGATGCCGCAGGGGCAGGGGGGCTGGCTGGACATGCCGGGCGCCGTGGCGTTGAGGCTTCTCTTAGGAAGATGAGGGTGTGTACAGGCAGGGGTGGGTGCAGAGGGGCTGGGTGGCCAAGGTGCCCAGGTGCTCCTCACAGCCCCACGTCCTCTCAGCCCAGCAGGCGGGCATGCTGGATGCCCAGTAGTAGGGCAGCTCGGGTGGCCCCATGGAGAATGGAGGTGCTGGGAGTGGGATTTCAGGGAGAGTGGGTGGGCCAGAGGGGAGGCCAGCGGGGTGGGGAGTCAGTGCAGGGGACTGTCTGGGTGTTTCCAACCTGCCAGCCCAGGGGACCCTACTGAGTCCACTTCTGAGCTGGGCGTAGGGTGCCCTCTGCTGGTGGTGGCCAGGAGCTCAGTTCTTTTGAACTTAATTTTTTTTTTAAAGATTTTACTGATTTCAGAGAGGAAGGAGAGGGAGAGAGAGATGAGAGATGTGTGTGGTGTGAGAGAGATTCATTGATGAGATTCATTGACCGACTGCCCCCTGCATGCCCCACACTGGGGATGGAGCCTGCATCCCTGACATGTGCCCTGACCGGGAATCACACCATGACCTCCTGGTTCATAGGTCGATGCTCAACCACTGAGCCACGCCGGCCGGGCCGGGCTGCCCTGTCTTTACCCAGTGCCAGGCTCTTCTCACTGGGGGGCCCGTGTGGCAGTGGCCCGTCCTTCGCGGGGCTGGCCCCGTGCCCAGTCTGGGTCTCAGTTGCGTCTCAGAGAGACCTAGGCGGCCCTGCCTCGAGGAGGTCTCCTGCCATCATTCCACACAGACCATCACACGCCCTCCCGGCTTCAGGCCAATGGCCTTTCCCCCTCCATGTGCCCTCTTCCACGGGCCAGGCTCCCAGGAGGGGCTCGTAACTGGTGAGCGGAGAAGAGCTTGCGTGGCACGTATGTTCTCGGGCCGATGAGATGGAGGCACCCTCTGGAACGTGGGTCTGCGGCTGGAGGTGGACGGGGTGGAGGCCACTGCCCTAACCTTGGCCCCTGCCCGCCCCGCCTGCAGCACAGGCAGCTGCTGAAGGACAGCTTCATGGTGGAGCTGGTGGAGGGCGCCCGCAAGCTGCGCCACGTCTTCCTGTTCACCGACCTGCTCCTCTGCACCAAGCTCAAGAAGCAGAGCGGAGGGTGAGTGACCGCCGGCCCGTCCCGCCTGCGGGGGAGGCCTGGGCGTGGAGTTGGTTTCATGCACAGAGGAAAGCTAGTTTGTTGTTGTTTGTTTTTGTTTCAAATATGCTTTTATCAGTTTCAGAGAGGAAGGGAGAGGGGGAGAGCGAGAGAGGCTGCAGACACCCTCCCCACCCCAAACACACACATGTGTGTCCACGCGCGTACATGCACACACGTACACGTATGGGCACACACGTACACATATGTACGGGCACACATGCACACATATGCGTGTGCGCACACATACATGCACACACACGTACATGCACACAGCCTCCCAGGGATCAGACCCCCAGCGTGTTCGCGCTGGGATGGAGGCAGGGAGGTCACATTGGGAGGGATCAGCACTGGGCTCTTCCCCACCTTCCGTTGCTGTGCTGAGTGGATTTAATCGTTCTACTCGGCGAGGAGCCTCAGTGTTGACCTGTGAACCAGGAGGTCGCTGTTCGATTCCTGGTCAAGGGCACAGGCCCGGGTTCCGGGCTCGATGGCCAGGAGGGGGCGTGCAGGAGGCAGCCGGTCCCTGATTCTCCTGTGATCTCTTCGGCAAGCTCCTAAGTTATTTCAACGTAGGCTGCAGACACCGTCCCTCCCCCAACCACATGCACACGTACACGCACACACACACACACACACACACATATGTGCATGCAGCCTCCCAGGGATCAGACCCCCAGTGTGTTCTCCCTGGCATGGAGGCAGGGAGGGCGCTGCGCCACGTCTTCCTGTTCACCGACCTGCTCCTCTGCACCAAGCTCAAGAAGCAGAGCGGAGGGTGAGTGACCGCCGGCCCGTCCCGCCTGCGGGGGAGGCCTGGGCGTGGAGTTGGTTTCATGCACAGAGGAAAGCTAGTTTGTTGTTGTTTGTTTTTGTTTCAAATATGCTTTTATCAGTTTCAGAGAGGAAGGGAGAGGGGGAGAGCGAGAGAAACATCAATGAAGGGAGGGAATCATGGATCATCTGCCTCCTGCAGGCCCCCAACTGGGGATGGAGCCTACAACCCGGGCACGTGCCCTGACCGGGAATCGAACCGTGACCCCCTGGTTCATAGGTCGACGTTCAACACCTGAGCCATGCCGGTCGGGCCTAGTTTGTCTTTTGTTGTTGTTTTTCTCCCAATGTGAGCCTGCGGAGGGCAGTCCCTATGTGGCCGGGTGGTCCCTCTAAGCTGCATTCTGTTTCCACCTGAATGTGAGGCCCGGCTCAGGTTCAAGGTCATCACTAACGCCCTGGAGACCTTCTGGGTCGGGGTCAGGTCTCACTGGAGGACTGTTGTGTCATGACTGGGAAGTGGGAGTGACTGGTGGGGG